GTCCCGATATTGAAGTCACGATAACATCCAAACTGATACGGCATTTTTACGGAGATCTAAATAAAAGCTTTTTATAAATGTTTCGAAACGGCAGTAATTTTTATGTATATTTTAATATTTTTACATTTGCTGTTCAGATTTGAAAATATCCCAACGAGTCTGTCTGTATGATTTTACTTCTGTCAACTGTTACATGAATTCATTCTTTGTTAAGAAGACTGGTTGTCAACCAGTGTTATAAAAATAAATAATATACCGTCGAGTTTCAAATAAAATAATTTTTATGAGTTGAACATTTTTAGAAAATTTTTGAATGACGATTTTTATTACGAACAAAAATTATTGAATTACTTTTTTAGTCACATAAATCAATAGCCATTTGTGTAAAGATAAATATATTCGAAATCCGATAATTTTGAAAATAGAATTCAATAGACATAGCGTGGTAAACAGAAGAGGCGCATGTTCGTAGATTTTACTCGTACGTTTGTTTCAAATTTCAAATTTCCGTTCATTGACGAGATAATTGGGAACAAAATGCCGGTTTATTACGGTGGGTTTGTTGGGGGGCCCCACAGCGGCGGTTACTGTCTATTCTCTTCCCGCTCTTGCCAGCCGCACATTGGAGGTTGTGGGCCTTGCTGCCCATTGCCCGGACCCTGCTGCCCGCCATCCTGTTAATAGATTAAGGTAATTCACTGTAATAGTGTAAACGGCAATGATTGATTATTTTTTTTATGTAAAAATTGCCAAGCGAGCAGATGGTTCACCTGATATTAAATGAATACCGCCGCCCATAGACATCTGTTACACTACTATCTGGTTGCAGATGTTGACAACCTTTTGAAAATTCGGCTCCGGCCACCTCAATCATCAGACGAAACGCGAAAGTATACTTCCACTTTACGGCGGTCTTCTGTGAGGTCGTGGTACCTACCCGGACGAGCCTGCCCATTCGTGCAACAGCCGAGGCTGCTGCGTGGCCCTAACACCGTATTAATTCATATGAGGCATACTGCGCGTCTCTTAAAAAATTGTTCATCATATAATCATTATATTATGACATTTGTATTTTGTGAATGTGACAGATGAAACATCTGAGAGGTGATATAGAACGTCTATGATACGGAGAAATATAGCAGTGTATAGAATTGCAGTAATTTGAGTGCCTTAGTTTCGGTGCACTAGTGTCATATATACCTCGTATTTTTAATATATCATTACATAATATACGTCGATGCATTTTTATGTAACAAAAAGAATAACAAGAAGATATCTCAATAATCCGCGTGATAAACATTGGACAGGTTATATTTATTTATAGACTAAATTGTCAATTAATCTAAATAAATATAAATAAAATACCCAAAGAAAGAAAAGTCCAAACAGTTTTGTATCAGCAAATTTTCGAGCTCGTTTTACAAAGATTTGAATCTTTTGTCCTGAAATTTACTCGGTTTTTAATTTATTTACTATCTATTACTTACAAACAGTCCTATATTTAGGCCTTTTATACTTATTTTGTCATTAACTGACTTCAAAAAGAGGTGCCTAAACAATTCGGACGTTTTTTTTATGTATGTCAGGCATTACTCCGTCATATATAGACGATTTGCAAAATTCTTTTTTTAGAAATTTAAATTGTTTATAGTGCTAACTTTTTCTACATATTTTAAAATTATTTTTTTGTTAGAAAGGGTTTTATTCCGAAATGGTCCCATATAAACTTTATATAGATCTGACGATGAGTTTCGGAGATAGACAACAGAACCCTTCAAATAATGACAGCAAAAAAAAATTCCGATTACTGCTATCGCATATGCATTGTTCTGTGCAATCACACAACATAACATCGTATTTACACAATTAAAACGCTGTTTTCGCGTTCTTAGCTATCATGTATGCATCGTATGCGTCAACTTGTCTGGCAATAAATTCGAACTGCAACTCCATCGGCAAAACCTATCAACAGTATTCCTTGACGTTCACTACGCAATTCAAGTTGAGCCGTTATCAAATATTCGTAAATAAACTTATAGCCAAACGAGTGCGAATTAAACCAAGACAATCGTAATTTTCTTGATTTTCGTCATTTAACCTAAGTAACATATAGGATCTTTTTTTAACAATATTTATCATTATTTTCGCGCTCGTCAGGCCTCATTAGAATGGTTACAGATTTTCTTCCTTATTTGCTTTTAATCCATTTCCTTTTTCAGTCCCGGTTTCAGTTTGACGTCGATTTCTGATAAGAGTAACGTCTTTGTTAAATCTACCCATATTTTATAATACCTAAGTATTAAAATTAAATCACTAAAAATAAAAAAGAACCGACTTCAAAAAACTGTATTAGCACTAAAAAGTTTATAATAATACTAAAGCTAATATAATCAAATCTTGAAACCTAACCTCTAACATGATTTAACAATTTTTGGAGTCGGTCTCTTTGTTCACCATGGGTAATGGTTGCACACCTTGCTAAAAAAATAGAAGCTAAGCAACAATTAATACTGCGGCTTTGTTCTGCAGTGGATTCGAACAGGCTGAAAATAAATGATGATGATGACTTATGGCTAAATGTAAAACTCAAGTAACTAGCTTATCCAAAGTGATACTTGACGTGACTGTTAGCAAAACTTGATAGCAAATTGTTATATTAATAATTTTCAATGCAAATCATTAAAATTGTATAAATGTTTACAGATGTGCCGGATTGTTTGAGAAGGTCGGAGGCAACGAACTACTGGCGTTGAAGAAATACAAATCCTGATAAACCTTATTTTAGATGATAAACCGTATGAGAGTAAAAAAATAAATAAATGGACTTTCTTTTATTGATCACATATTCTCAAGTATTAGACGTATTTAATAGAAATTTATCACACGGGCCTTGCCATGCAATTCCACCTTGAATGGGAGATGCTCACGCTCAGTCAATGTATCCACATTGTAATCAGACAAGCCTACTTGTGGCCCTTTACCCAACTCCTTGACCACTTTTTTGAAGACCGAAGACCGCCACCCATGGACAATCAACTTGGCAAAAGTGGGCACCGTGAAAAAGTATACTTTTGAGACTGGTTAGGAATTCAACATTGTGGTCCTGAAGGATTGTTCCGTGTTGTATGTTACTCTAGGACATATTGAAATAGTGCAAAACAAAGGAAGTGGGGCATTCCACGCGAAGCGGACAGGTAAAAAAAGTTGATGTCTCCGATTTTAGTAATATTTGATTATGTTATACCTATATGTGCCCTCAATCCAGATACAAAATATTTTTTCGGTATAAAATGTAGTTTACGATTTAGAGAGCTTTAAAAATGTGACTAACCGGCAGGTATGCGCCACTTCGAATCCCATTATCCGGTATTGAAAAGATAAATGGAAATAAATGAAGTAGTCAAGTGTATGCTTAATTTAATGAGCTTTCTAATTGCATTTTTGGATATTAAAAGAAATTATTTTTTTTGGAAAAAAATCATGTTCAAACTTTTTAAACTTGAATTTCACAAAGTTGGACCACTAATTTTTTTATTTTTTTTTAAAACTAGTTAATAGTGTATAGATAGTCCTTGCCAAGTTGCATAATGGGCCGAGAAGTCGTTTAGGAGCTAGGCCATCTACAGTGTCGAAGGGTAGCGCCGGTGCCCGGATCGCGCTTACTGCCAGTCAACGCGAGATTACAAAAACATCAACATATTTTGTTTACCTAATAGAGTTTAATAAATCATTTGATCTTACTTAGATGTACTTTAATTTACAATAAAACAACGTTATTCGAAGTGGCGCACTTGGTTTTCGACTTTTGTTTTTATCGAATAAAAAAAATTTGTGTAACATTTTTTTTTTGTATAACTGATGTTACTCTTTCAGTCCTTAGACTATAAAAGCTTCATCTTATATGGAATGAATTATTATATGTATTCTTATATGGAAGGAGAAAGAGCTCCACGGGAGGTTGTACAAGGCTCTGCACGAACCTTTCGTAGATATTGTTGCCTCCCTTAACTGGCTGCGTTTCGGTGACCTCTTTGGGGAAACCGAAGACTGTCTATGCGATACAGGATCAGGTTATTAATAGTGAGCTATTTGCTGACTAGATAGATTTAATTTTCCCGTGAACTATATCGAGAAATGGTGAATTAGCGAAGGAATGAATTATCGAGAAATAGTGAGAATTAGCGAAGGAATGAATGAGTATTTCTTCTTTCACAACTATTTCGAATATCTATGTTTTCATTTATATATTTGAATTACTGTTTTTTATGAAACAAATATCGAAAACGATAAGTATTTTTTCTTTTCTTATTATTTAGTACATAAAACAATGATAACGTATCGAAAACTGCAATATTACTAAGAATTTACGATAAACGAAGAACATAAAATGTATGTTTCCGTTCGTCATCTCTATTTCATTTTCGACTACTGATATTTCGTAGTTTGAATTACACATTCTAATTATCTTACACGTTTTGATTCTATACAGATATTATAAATAAAATTTAATGCCTAGGTTATGTAGGTACAAAGAAATTAAATAATCCGAGAAATACATAAATGAAAGTTTTACTACGATTTGTAAATCTTTTCCCACTTTCTCTACAAATAAAATTTAATGCCTAGGTTATGTAGGTACAAAGAAATTAAATAATCCGAGAAATACATAAATGAAAGTTTTACTACGATTTGTAAATCTTTTCCCACTTTCTCTACAAATTGTTTAATATTGTGCTAAGTGCAGAGGATAAGCACTAAAAATTTAGATCATTGTTAACTTCACGCTAAGTTCATAAATACGTTAAACGTTTATTATGGAGAAAAGGCAAACGAGCAGGGGGGCGGCGGCCTCAAGTGATTACCGCCGCCCATGACCACGCCGGCCATTAAGTGACATTTGAAGTGTCAGTTACCTTTTTACTTTAACCTGGATAAAAATTCCATTTCATGAATTTTTCATATATGCGATAGGAAAAATATAAAGGAAAGGCAAACAGTCACGTAAGCAGCTTTATTTTGAATACGGATCCATGTTGAAAAGAGCGGTTAGCGGTAAACGAGACAATCACGCCAGACTGGTGCACGTGAGGACCCGGTGGCGAGATTCCAGCCGACCCCCGCGGCCTGCGAATCGAAGACAGACAATCAGCCGTCAATTCTTCGGCGACGTTCCATCTTCCAATCGCACTGCAAAAGAATTGATGTTTAAATTGTATCCAGTGTTTCAGATCGCTTCGCGTATGACAATACCTCAATACGGCGCTGCCATAAACAAATAAACGGCGCGATTTGTAACCACGTTGACAAAAGCCGTAACCAGTAATATGCGCAAAATTGTTGAATGACCATGTACGTCAGAAACGGAACGAGACGTAGGACTCAGATGCATCATTATCTTCACTCCCGAACAATGATATACAAATACAGCCAATGTTATTATACAAATAATAGATAGAATAACACTAGAGCACCGAAACTGAGGCACTCAAATTACGCCAATTCGTATAGGTTAAAATAGTTAGGTTGCAATTCTATTTTCGTATCATACGCTCTATACAATGATATTATATACAAATGCAATTCAAAAATATTAAACTGGTGCTATATCATTTGTCACATTCACATGTCAATGTAAAGAGGAACTATTTTTAAACGCCGCGCAGTATGGACATGGACGCGAGTCTATCTTTATTAAAACATCATTCACTGAAAAGAAAAATCTTTTCAACGACTTAGGTCCGTGTTATCTCGCCCGACCACTAGAACCTGTATTAGAACTCATAGGATGTTTTATAAACTAAACAGTAGGGCGAGTTAAGACCATTTGGCTTACCATCCCTTTAGCAGCAGTACCACCCCCCGCAACACGAGGAGTAGCATGGAGAGCACCGGGAGTAGCAGGGTCCGCATGGACTACAATAGGAGTTGCAAGGATAGCAAGGCATCTTTGTGTTTTCCTCAGATGGCCGACTACACCACGCGAAAATCAACTTGTTCACTCTTGTTTTATTAACTCTGATTGTTAAATTTGTTTGTTTTGGTTTTGTATTTCTTATTATTACGTTGATGGTTTGGAGTTTGAGCTGTGACTGAGCATTAGAACGCTCCTTGTAATAAGGAATCGTCATAGAACGCGAAACGTTCCATTTTTTGAATTGTTTTAGAACGATTTAAAAAGAAGAAATTTAATCGTTTTCGAAAGAGTTTCTTTGATGGCTTTTAAAAATGATGATTTGAGAAACCTCCTTAGAAAGGACATATATTTGAACGAAAACATTATGGCAGAAAATTACATATCTCTCTATATACTCTCGTTATTTTTCCTTATTAAATCTTTCTAAAAAGGAAAAACTTACTCAGCATTTCTATTTTTTATAACTGTATTTCTATTTATACCTACAATAATATCAGTTTCGTAAACTCGAATTGTTAGGGCGCCTACCTTTTCAATTCATTACAACGCAGTGTCTATTCTTAGTAATGCTACAAACACGCGATATTTCGCCGCATTTAGAGCTTTTCGTTATTAAAACGAGAATTCTCGGAACGAGGCCGCGACAAGGTTTAAGTGAAACTAAATTTCTCAGAAAATGACCTATGAATTGTGATTGTAATGGCTTTCAAGTTCTGCGTAGGCTCTGACTACTGGTGACGTCAAGGGAAATTGATCTCTAAACGAACGCCTCAAGGGGCGATCCGAAGCAGAAATCCTATGAACTTGTAATGTTAAGAGGCGTTGATTACGTTTCGTTGATAGTTGTACGTATCCTTTAATAAAGTTTACTGAGAAACTGTTGCAATAACAGTGTAGAATTATAATAGAGTAACAACTGGCTAGTCGGAGTAAGGAAATCTTAATCAATGTTATTTTAACGGAAAATCAATACAAACTTTAATCATTACACCACAACGAAGCTTCGGAACGCGCTTCGTCGTTGAAGAAAGAAATTGTGCGAAAATGTATAAAATAGATATTTCGAACGTTTGCAATATCTGCCAATCTGCAGGCCGCATGGCGAACTATGTCTTATATCCAGCATTGGGATATACAGAGTGTCACCTCTGCGAAGACTCAACTTGCCTGTAATCAGCTTCATTTTTCTTATTTCTCTGAATTATTAGAATTATTCGTTCAAGTAGCGGTGGCCTATATTCACTTAGATTCTGAGGATCAAGAACCAATGTTTCGCTTTATTGGTGAATGAATGTTTTATTCTTAAATTTTCACAGCGTAAGCTTGGCGAAATGTGAATTGCAAATGGTAATTCCTTCCCACTTTGCCCACTCGGTGTATTTATTATTTACTTACAACGGTAAAACTAATCAAAAGTTTAGTAGGTGTCGCCTTGGCATGACTCAAAACTGTGTTTCGGTAAAACTTCCGTGACTCACAGTTGGACCGAAGTGAATGATGGGTCATCGATAAAGGATGCAGCAAAAGGTTCGCCTGTTGGCTTAAGAGAATCGCTTAATTAACCGTAAAACAATGATTCACACTTAGCATTTTGGCTGCACATAATCTTGCAGAATTTTCGGAAATGACATTGAAAGACCGTGGTACGAAGCAAGCTTGAGTTACCGCTTGCTCCGTATTTTTCTGGTGCTGGTGTTATGGAACCCGGGTTCCAAATCCTGCACCTATCGGGTTAAAAAATTAAAACCTTACTTTGTTACCAAATAATCAAGAAAACAAAAACTAGTTCAAAAAAGCTTAAAACTTACCTCTCACAATGTAAACTTATGCGTATTTACTTAGTTTTAGTGTTCGTTTTGACAGTATTGGGAAATGAAAGTAAAAAACATTTGCAGGTGACACATAATTTCAACTTCTTCTAACAGGCCCAAACTCGATGCTAAAATGAGCATGGAGATGGAGCTAATACATTCAATGACATCAGTTCGACGTAATTTCAACAGATTTCATTGTCTGTTCCTGGGATATTAAGGGGTTCCAAATTATCAGCAGGTTCCAAATTACCACCTCTTCCCTATATTTAATTATTGTACTTCTAGATCAAAACTCTTCTTGCGCTCTGTTGTTTTTTTTTTCTTTATCCTAGTGTTGAGCCAGTTACAAAATATAGATAAAATTCAAAGAAAAACAATAAAAACTTTCAGTTACAATTTAAATTATTCGAGTTCAATAAAGTATAACGTTTAGAAACATTTCGTGTAGAATAACAATAACAGTGCAGTAATGTTTGTTAGTTATTTCACTGTTTCGCAATTAACTGTGCTGTGGCCTGGGTTGCGTTCATCGAAGCTCGCCATTACGCGGTTACGCAAACGATTCCGTAACGGTTGATTTCTGTGGGTGTGAGTTATGAGTTATGGGCAGATGGCATGCGACGAATTATGAGCCAACAGCTGCTGCTTCTACACGGAACAGATGCGTTCGTGTTTTGTATACGTTCACGTGGCGACAGGTGGTAGATTTAAAAAATGACTATCGATAGATGATGTATATTTCTTACTTCGATGAATAAAATTTTGATTTGATTTTGTTAAACGAATTTAATGACACAAAGATTTTGTATAATAATTTTTCATTTTTAACGTCTTGTACAGCATTGCATTCGCTTTTATGAATCGTAATTTTATAAGAAGTTGACTGAGCCCAACTATTAAAAAATAAACTGTAGAATAGATTAGTCAAAGAACTTCTGACGACGTACAAAGATTAAGTGAGTGATTCTTTTCTTAATGTGGACGATTTTAAGGTCTTTTATCTCTGCCATCTCTCTCTTTCCGGTCTTTGTCTCCTATTTAAGGATCTTGCGATGCTTCCTCTACTAATTATATTATGTTTCAGTATATTTTTATTTTGGGACAGCTATCAACTATTTAACTCCAATTCGTCGACTTCGTTTCAGAAAGTATAATTTATTGATTTCGTGATTTTACGAGAATATTATACAGTATGTCGTTACAACCGCGACAATAAATGAACACGCATATAGAGCATAACTTTTTAAACTTGTACTACTTAAACATTTACATTCTTTAAACATCAATATTTATCGAGTTATTAAATTTTCCAAAACAAACAATTTTAAAACTCCTTTACGTATAAAACTGTAACGTAAAGTTCATTTGTAAAGGTCACAAACACAAAGCATATGAATTGAATTGAGATTTGTAATGCGACGCTGTGGCAACGAATGAAAAAGTCTCTGAATGTATGAAACAGCCAGTTGTAGTCGTATAGGATGTTAAAAATTTTGTTTCTTTTTTATTTAATTAGTTTGTTTGAAAAATACTTTTTTTAATTATGGATTTTTTTAACGCTTAACATTTTTTATGATTATTGGCAAGTAGCGTTGGACGTGTGTTCATTTATTGTCGCGATTGTAATGACACGCTGTATATGAATATTGAATGAAACTAGTTCACTTAATAAAAATAATTTTGGTCGCATAAATGTGGAGTGTTAGTAATAAATCGCTAAGACCGAATTCCGCAGATTAATAAATTAAATACGTATTAGCGCTAAGTGGCTGCCTACTTAGTCTTGTTTAATATAGACAGCCGTCGCATCCGTCTTTATCATAAAGTAAGAATTTAAGAAAACCTTGTTATAATAAATTGTGGCTTATATTGTCATATATCCAAATCATTTCCAAAAAAAATTGGCTAGCCGTACACGGCTGCGGTGCTGCTAGCCAATTTGCCAACGGCGTACGACAAAAAATAATAAAGTAATAATAAAAATAAAGTTATTAAAATATCTGCTATTGAAAATAGGTATGACTACACTCGCACATACAAGGATACATTAATAAATACTTGTAAGTAACATATATTATACTGAAATGACAAAAAGAAACTAAATGAAAATAACACGTCGTTCCTGGTCTTGCTAAAATTCCGCAAAAATTAATTTCAACGTACATAAAAATAAAGTGTAATTTTCAATACCTTCTAAGTAATTACAGAACGTTACAAACAAATTAAGACGAAACGATTAAAATAACCTGTTCATGGAAATATTTAAACATGCTGTTGGCAAAAACGGAAATGAGCAATCGCACGAATCTATTGCATAAAACGAGCATTGACAACATATTTCTTTCTAAAGCGAAATCTACATAATCTGTTGGGGCGCGAAAAATGTCAATAAAGCCGAGGGCTTCCAACAAAAAGTTGTTAATGTGTATATTTTTTTACTATGATTTCAATAGAGATTCATTAATTATTAGATTATATTTCTGCTATTTTGTTTAAAATATATATGTTTACGTATATTATCTTTTACCCTGCATTTAACATCGAAATGAAATTTCGTTGTTAATATCTCTATTCAGTCTGCATAATTAAATAATACTTGATATACGAGAATGACAAAGGCTTGCGTAATACTATTTCCATGAACCAGAGAATCGTCGAAATATAATTCCACACGTGATTATTCTGTTAAACGAACTAATTGTTGTGTCGATCATTATCTCCGACGCAGTCGCACCCCTAATGGTGATAAAGGGACCCAATTTTCCGTACCGTCGGGGTGTGATACACCGATTTCGCGGAAAGCGCAATCAAAGCGGGAACGCTCGCCATTTCCGGCCACTTTATTAGGTTCGATCACGAGGCGGGCGATTCTTAAAACTGCGCCCGTGTTAGGGACTAGCGTTTCCTCCTAACCGGGCGTCGTTATGCTGCAATTTGCTCGATTTTAATCGACGGTATCCTAATCAGTAACCGAAACGGGAACTGTGAAGATAATAATTTGACCTAGACAGTTTTTTCTTTTTTTTTATGTGAATATGTGGCAAACGAGCTGGCGGTTCACCTGATGTTAAGTGATATCCGCCGCCCATGGACATTTGATGGCGTTATCTTTTTCTGTCTTAAGGAAATTGGGCAGCTTAATCAGATCCTAATTCTTGTGTTCAGGTCTTCTTGACTTTCGG